TGAGTTTGGTTTTTGTTTTGCTTTGTTTTGTTTTAATTTCCTTCACTGATTTTATCACCATATTTCAAGAAAAATCTTAGAAAGCCCAAAATATATCATATACTCTGTATCTCTCACAACACCCAGCAGGAGACTAAGAACAAAGTAGATAATCAATGTCTACTGAATGAATATATAAATGAATGAGTAAATAAATACTTCTCTGTGATCTTCTTCAAAATCTGCTCTTGTTCCCTCAAATTCTAGACTTTTGCTCTTAAGAAGATGGCCTAAAATGACTATGGATGTATAATAAAAAACAAAACACTAAAGTCGATCACTGTGTTTCTATTTCAATTTTCTATTAGGTTGAAATGGAAATGAGAACTCTGAATAAAAGCAGAACAGATCATCATGTCTGACAGCAAGATGAATTAGAGTCCAGGATGCTGAGAACTCTGGCAAATGAGATTATCAAACACTATCACTGATCTTTGAAGGAATTGTGAAAAATAGGATAGATGCCAAAACTCTGGAGATGGGCAAATGTTATTCCAGTTTTCAAAAGGGGAAAAAAGTTACAGCTTGCCATTTCCAGGCTAGAGAATGTGATGTTACTCTCAAGCAAAATTCTTAAATAGACTCATAAAGAGATACTTGCAAGCACCTCAGACAGGAAGTTGAGTCCATCTGGAGCCAGCACAGGGTCACCAAGAACAAATCCTATTAAATTCATTTTAATTTATTTTCTCTGACAAAACTTCTAGCCTAGTGGATTAGAAAAATATAGCAAATATAAAAGATAGGGTACAATGAGGAGATGGGCAGTGAAAGGGCTAATTCAGCCTTCAGGTTATATAATAGAAGCATTATATACAGCATAAAGGCGGTGATAGTTGTTTCTTTTCTCTGACCACATCCAGAGACCTTCATCTAGAACTTGTTGCCACTCTTGAGGAAGGTTTTTGATAGTATGATCTTTTGAAGGTCCATTTGGCAAAACATCTTTTTTTTAAGATCTTATTTTTAAGTAATCTTCACACCCAGTGTGGGGCTTGAACTCATAACCCCCAAGATCAAGAGTCACAAAACTTTTTAAACTTTTTAAAGTAATCTCTACACTGAACGTGGGGCTTGAACTTAAGACCCTCGAGATCGAGAGTCACATGCTCTACCAATGGAGTCAGCCAGGTGTACCTTGGCAAAACATCTTTAATAGCATAAAGCTCTCATCTAGCTTTCCGGCATCTGATGAGAAACTGAAAGATCTAGTTAGGGGTGCCTGGGTGGCTCAGTGGGTTAAAGCCTCTGCTTTCGGCTCAGGTCATGATCCCAGTGTCCTGGGATCGAGCCCCGCATCGGGCTCTCTGCTCAGCAGGGGAGCCTGCTGCTTCCTCCTCTCTCTCTGCCTGCCGCTCTGCCTACTTGTGATCTCTCTCTGTCAAATAAATAAATAAAATCTTAAAAAAAAAAAAAAAAGGAAAGATCTAGTTAGGCCTACATTCCTAAATGGCAACAAAAGGCTGAACCCAAGTGGTGACTCTCCGTTTGGACAGGACACATTCTCTCAAGCCTACCATAATCACCACCACCCTTTCTTCTATTGCCCTCAATGAGGTGGTGGACCAACTACGACAAATCATCTTACTTGGCCAGCTTCACTCATTTATTCTACCTGCCAAGCACCCAAAGGCACTAGAGTCTGCAAGCAAATATACAGTAAATCCAAAGGAGAGAGAAGTTGATTAAGCAGCAGATAAGCACTTTACAAGACCAAATAAAGATGCTCATAGTCCAGGAGCTATGATCAGAGTCTCTAAACGTCCAACGGGCAGTCATAGGGAAGAAGCATCTGTCCTGTTCTGTGGTGTCCCAAGGGGAAGATAATACAGAAGCAATAGGTGGACATAAACAACACAACAGCCAGAGCTATCCATAGGTAGAATATGTGGACTTGGGAGGTGAAGAGTTCCCCATCACTGGAAATGTACAAGCACCTGGTATACTACTGTGTTGCAAATATATAATCAAAGGGATTCAAGGATTTGATGAGGCAAGAGAAGGCATGGGTCTGAAATTTTTTACAGTAGGGGAAAAAAACAGTTTTAAAACATTCTCCTGGGGCGCCTGGGTGGCTCAGTGGGTTAAGCCTCTGCCTTCGGCTCAGGTCATGATCTCAGGGTCCTGGGATCGAGCCCCACATCGGGCTCTCTGCACAGCGGGGAGCCTGCTTCCTCCTCTCTCTCTGCCTGCCTCTCTGCCTACTTGTGATCTCTCTCTCTCTCTGCTGAACAAATAAATAAAATCTTAAAAAAAAATAAAATAAAATAAAACATTCTCCTTAGGTCAATAAATTCTTCAAAAAGAGATAAAAGAGAATAAGTCAACAAAGAATTCAGTATCATTTTTAAAAACCAAAAATTCCCCTCACTCGATTCACAGGACAAAATTTACCTAAGTAAGTGAAGTATCTGCACCAAACTGGCCAAATGAAATCCAGGGAGAAAGGAAATTGGCATCAGGCGTTATTTTTGGTGATTGGTCAAACATTCTTCAGAGGTAAGCAACAAAGGCAAGGGATAAAAGTAAGAGGGTAAACAATGGAGCACGGATCAAAAGGCAGCCAGTCCCCACCACAAAACCGCCATCTGCTACTGACATCAATCCTTCAGGGGGCAGCTTCAGGCAAACAATGTACTGGGAAAGATGACGGGCCGCCTTCGCATTTCCAGCCTTGTGACCTTGGGCAAGTCATTCCACACGACAAGGCCTCAGTTCCCTCCTCCCTAAAACTGAGCTCCTATGAACCCTTTCCGTACACTGTGTAGGCCAAGAGTAGTGATGTTTGGGAGTGAGCCAGAGAAACTGTAGAGCCCTGTATGTACATCAGTAATTATGACGACTATGAACAGAATTTTGAGAGAAAAGGTTCCAGATGGTTTCAGAGACTGCAACATCCTGACCTAAGTTGTGTGGGTGTCAATTCTGAAGGACCGAAATTCAACTCCTTTAACCAGAACGTAGAGACCTTTAGAGTCTGGAAGAGACAAGATCATCTGGACAAATTTCCTGCTGAAATGCATTACCTTAGACTTGCTAAGTAGCTGTTAAAATAACAGTGAACAGTAAAACGTAAAAGAATCAGCCAGAGCAAGAAACGCTTAATTGATCCTCAAGCAAAGTTCACGGGCCCAGTGGTAGCAATCCAAAAATGAGACAAGCGTGCTCCTTACCATGACAATGCTAAGAAAAACCCCAAACTGTCCAAAACTCAACATCCCCTTCTCTACTGTGGCATTCTTCTTGGGAACCGCAGTTAAAAAGAACAATAATAATCAGCTACCTTCATCTTATAAAATACGAACTCCCTAAAAAGTGTGTAGGCAAAGACCGAACCTGGGCTTTTGTACTGGAGCAGTCGCGTGAATTCCAATCTCTGACCAATAAAGGGCTTGCTTCTAAATTCTCAGCAAGGCTGAAACATTGTAAGTCACTGTTCTCCACACTGAACTGAAAGCTGGAGAAGGGTTTTCTGTTTATTTCTGCCCTGGGGTCTACCCAGAGGGGATTAGCATGCCAGGTCTGACCAGAACTAAAAGGCACAAGACTGTTGGCCAGACTGGAGGGGAAAAAACAAAAAAAAACAAAAAAAAACAACAAAGCCCTCCCCTGGTGGCTGCTCCCCTCCCAAAGGTTCCCAAGCATCTGAAGCGTGTGCAGCAGCTGTGGATGCCAGCCTCCTGCCGCTCCTGGAGAGGCAACCTGCCTTCCTGGGTCACCGAGTCAGGAGCTGCGGCAGCACCCAAAGCAGGTGTGGCAGCCTCACGTCACCTGGGCCCCAAATAACCAACTTGCTCTAACAGTCCACCCAGAGCCTCAAGGGCAGGCATCAGTATCCCCTGAAGATGTATTTTGTCTTCAGTCTTTCCGCAGAAGACCACAACACAGCCTGTGTCGCAGCAAGGAGATCCAGGACCAGAAAGAAACCAGACGCTAAGAGGCACAGGCCCAGGCTTCCCTCAGGGTACCTCCTCAGAGAAAGGGTGAGCACGATGCTTTTAGGTTTTCCTCGCCAGAGCTGAGCCTAAAACTCACAAAGGTGGGAGAACCCCAGTAGGGCGTGAATGAGGATTCCGCCTGCATTTGTCTATGCCATTGTGTCCGGTGTCCTATTTCGCCTTGCGAGGGAGGATATAGGGAGCAGCTTCTGAGGAGTGTGCCCCCCGTGCAGCAAAGCTGGAACAAGCAGCCAGAGGTCATCTCACCCTGCTGGCTAGCTTCCTCGGGCAGTACGGCAGCCAGGCAGCTCCCAGCTGCCGAAACGGCACACTGAGCTGTTGGCTTTGAATGAAGCCTGATGACCCTACACGCTAGCAAGCGGCCGGACGGTGACTGGGGCTGCACACTGTGAGAGAATACATTTTCTGCACCGAGCTCCCTCTTTATGCCTAAATGCCTGCATTAGTCCAGATCAATATGCCCTGTAACAGTTCATCCATGGCAACCTAGGCCAGCCAAGAGACACTGACAAAGAATTGCAGCCCCGGGATGCTGCTTCCCTGTGCATATGCATGTGAATTCCAGCCCAGAGAAAGGGGCAAAGGAAAGCAACAACAAAAACCAAAAAGAAGAAAGAAAAATAAAAGCAGATCGTAAAAAGATCATAGGAAGGGGCTTTCAGCATGGGAGAGGGGAGGAGGTGGTGACTGTCAAAATGGCCTTAGAGTGACATGTCACCGCCAAGATGATGGAGTATCTCCTAAAGCCGGGCGTAGGATCCTCCTCACACACCTGCAATGCAGTGATTGCTGCCCATTCTACAATCCATACTCCCAGCTCCGGCGCTCTCTGCCGTTGAAACCAGTCTGTACTTGTGCGGCTGCCACTGTTCCTACTCACAATAAGATTATTGATGCATAACAACATTTCGTGATGGCAGGGAGGAAAAAGGGTAAAAGAAAGCCAAAGCAAGAGAAAAAGGAAAGGGGACGGGAAGCATGACTCCCCAGCCCGTGTCTCACCTTTTATTTGGGCTTCATATTCGGCAATGATCTCTTTGTCTTTCTTGAACTTAGTTTGAGATGACATCTTCCAAAGTGGCCAAAGGCACTGACAGGCTGTTTGATTTATTTCTCTTTTTCTTCCCGAGTCCTCTCTCAAGCCCTGGTAATCACACGGCTCTGGTCGATTTCACAGGTTTAGGGACTAATCTCTTTTACTCCGCTGCAGAGCCAAGGGGGGAAAAAAAATCCCTCTCGATCCGGGAGGAAAATTCTCTTTACTCCCCGAAAAAAAATGTCTCTAGTAGCTTGGTCTGGTCAGCTCTTCTTGCAAAAGAAGAACTACCACCCTAGGAGCTCAGTAACCTGCCCCAGATTTTCAAGATTTTTCTTCCACAGAAATAAAAACCAAGAGCGATCACACACACATGCACACAAACACACTCACGCGTGCACTCTCGCACTCATCCGGACACACACACACACAGCCGTGATGCACACACACATACACACGTTCACTCACTCACACCCGCTCACCCACCCACCCCCACACACACACATCCACGAGAGGCGCGGCGCCTCCTTGGTCGTGCAGTTGGTCCCCGGCTGGCTTTCAAAAGCTCTGCTAAGGAGATGGTCAGGTTGCCAAAGAGCCGGTCATCTCGCATCCTCCCTCCCTTCGGCGCCTCTGGTCTGATGTACAGTGAGGATCAAAGCCAGGAGAGCCGAGATGGAAGTTCTCCTGCTGCAAGGCTTAAGCTTCGGGTAAACCAGAGCTGGACTGTTCGCCCTGCAGGGCTGGCTGAGCACTCCCCCACCCACCTCGTCACCAAGCTCCACCTCCCGGATTTTATAACAACTGACACATTGTAGCCTACAGGAGAGCAGAACTCACTGCAAGCAAAAAGGGGAAGAAATGCTCACAAAAGGGAAGGCAGCAGGAAAAAGAATCGGGTGGGAAAGGCCTGAGAGGCCCCTGCAAACTCCATTAGCAGTCGGGTTAGGAATTTTTCTTCCAAAAACTCCAAAAGGTTCACCTTTTCTTTGCACCTTGCAATTTAATTTAATTTCTCAAAGCAACAGCTATGTGACAGTTTGTTACTCTGTAGGGATGGTCTCCAGAGGAGAGAGGCTGACCCATGTAGGCAAGCTCATTAATATTTGTTGAGCAATTGCGGGCTGGCAGGGACAATGCCAGGCATTTCAGACACGCAGTTTTGCAAAGCTGTTGAGAGCAGGCATGCTGGAAACACCCAGCTGCCTCAGTGTCTCTTGGAGCTTGTGGCAAATCAATAACTCATTGAGCCTCAGTTTCCTCACCAGTAAAACAGGCTATCTTTAAGGGCTTTTTAATTCATTCTTTCAACAAATATTTATTGAAAGCTTGCTATAGATCAGGCATGGTTCTGGATACAGGGATGCAGCAATGATCAAAATAAACACACACAGAGGGAAGGAAGGAACAAGGGAGGGAGGGAGGGAGGAAGGAAGGTAGATCCCTGTCCTCCTGGAGCTCCAGGGTCTCCACGTTACGGAACTCTGGGAAATCCCCACCAGTCACATTCATGTTCTCGGTAAAGGTCGAACTCAGAATGCACAGTGAATGGTACCTCCTGGAATCATGCAAGGCAAGAGGCCCTGGAAGAGGAAGATGAAAAATAAACAAAATGAGTAAATGATAAAATATGGTTGAAGAAGGTAAGTGCTATGGGGAAGAAAATACTGCTGGGTAAGGGATTTCAAGAATGAGGGAGCTCGTGGGAGGATCAAAAAAGAATGTAAAGCTAAGCTTAGCATGGTGCCAGGCACATAGTAAGCACTCAATAAATGGTAGCAATTATTATTACCCCATGATATCCTCCCCCCAAAAACCCAACAACATAGCAGAAGCACCCCTCTTTCACAGATGAAGGAAGAGAGACACAGATATGGGAAGGGACTTACTCAAGGTCACCAGCATTCAAACATAGGCTATCTGACACCAGATTTTGACCATGCAAATGCTCAAGTATCCTGCCTTCTACTAAAGAGATTAAACCCATTTCACATGCACTTCGGTAGGGTAAGATTTGTTCTACAAAAAATGAAATCAAGCATGATAGGATTGCTGAGCATAGGAACTACCCATAAGAAGGTTGTCATTGACATGTTTTATCCCCCCAGTTTGGTATTTTCACAAATTTTTCAAAATAATCTCACATATGCCTATATCTGAGTATATAATAAATGATCAGATTCAGGTTCAGAAATGAATCCACGGCGATCCATTAAAGCCTCCCAGAGAGGGTGGCAGTTGTAATGGGTCTCCTCAGACAGGTATGGGGCCAGGGGCGAGGTAGGGTGTGGGAGGAGATGGGATATCCCTATGCAGCAAACAGTATGAGCTAAGCCTGCAGGCGGGAAGGCATAGGATCTGCTTGGAGAAAGCACATGGAGAAGTCCGGCCAGTGAATTTACAGGGCTTTTTTCAGCTTTGCATCCCGAGATAGGAGGTCACAGAGTTGATAAGCACTGTCCCACAGCCAGTGCCATCACCCTCTTGCCTCACCTTGAGGGGGCATGTTCAGTCCCTCTGAGGTCTCCCTCTGGACCAGTTTATTTATTTTTTTAAGACTTTTATTTATTTATTTATTTGACAGAAAGAGAGACAGCGAGAGAGGTAACACAACCAGGGGGAGTGGGAGAGGGAGAAGCAGGCTTCCCGCTGAGCAGGGAGCCCAATGCCAGGACCCTGGGATCATGACCTGAGCCGAAGGCAGACGCTTAATGACTGAGCCACCCAGGCACCCCCAGACCAGTTTAAAACAATGGAAGCCATACATTTTACCTGAGAAAGATGGGCCCAGAGATTAGCATCCCTGCCTCAAGCATAGGAAAGGAAAAAAGTTAAGTATTGCATTCCTTGGGATATGACAGACTGGATTCCCTGCCTGGCTCTGTCATTATAGTTCTAAGAAATGGCACAAGTGACTTAACCTGCTTGACGTCAGAGGCGGGAACTATTAAGTGTCAGCTATTCTCATCATTACTAAAAGTTTGAATCCACAAATATTTCTGGGAGACCGATGTGTAGGGCACTGAGCCACAGAAGTGTCACAAAAGGCTCTAGAAAATGAAGTGAAGTATGGTATTGAGCTACATGCCGAGCAGCAAAAGAGCTGAATTTTGGTGTAAAACAGATGGTGATTAAAATTCCAGTTCCGCCACTTACCAGCTTGTGGGGGCCCCTAAGTCGCTTCTGTGTTTTCTCTGAGCCTCACTCCAGTTTCTTCATCTGTAAAATGGTGGTGATATTACTCATAGCACAGAGTCCAAGGTGATCATGAGCTTAAAGTGCCCGGCACCTAGCAGAGGTCCTGCAGATGTTGCTTCTTTTTTAGGGCCCAACCACGTTGGGCCTAGGATCAGAGTTGGGGCTCCAGAGATCCCTGGATCAAGAGCAGAGAGAGAAGAAATATAAGACAAGGGTTATGTCTCCTGCAAATAAATCACCACACACAGCGAACCCACATCACCCAGAATCTTCCTTCCCCAGGAAGAGGTGGTATGACCTAGGCAGGCCCCCTGGTATGATGCCCTTGACTCTTTCCTTCTGTTCCTCCCCAAGGCTCACCGGCCTCCCCACTGCCCTTCTGCAACACTCCTCCACATGGCACTTCTTCCTTGTTATATGAGAACCAGCTGCCACTCCTGATGATTACCCTTCACAAGGTAGTAACAGAAATCAGATTCCTCCAAAAGTAAGGGTGGTATGTGGCAAGGCAAGGGGTTCTACTATGTCGTTTGATCTGTGCCACCCCCAAGGATGGGAATACCCCCCAGAAGGTTATATTCCATTTACCTCAGGCTCATTTCCTAAATTCTTTTAGCTCTTCCTGAATTATCCTAATAGCTAGAATTTATCAAGCCCTCATTCCATCTAGGCACTGGGCCAAGTACATTATATAGATTTTATCATTGACTTCTTGCTATGACCCAATGGGTCAAGTTCTATAATCATCCTTGTTTTATAGACAGGGAAACAGAGGCACAGAGCAATGAAGCAATTTCCAAGGTCACAAAACTAGCTACTAACAGAATCATATTCAAACCAGGTCTGACCAATATGGTAGCCCAAGGACTTAACCAGTACACAGTTCTATACCAGAACAATCATCGTAGTGACAATCATTGTGAAATATTGACTTTTTTTCTCAAGCAATACAGTGTTCAATCTAAAGTTTGCCATTAAAAAAAAAAAAGAATTTAGGCTTAAAACCATAATGAAAACATGTCAAAATGGCCATTGATGAAGCTCAAATCACAATTATAGCTGATTAACTCAAAATTCACTAAACTGGTTTCTTTTCCTGGTAGGGGGGAAAAAAAAGAGTCTACTTGGAGGAAGAATGACCAGAAAAGTTTTGGGTTTAAGGCAATGTTTGTGGGAGGTTTTTTAGCCAAATATGAAACCCTCCCAAGGTGACTACTAAGAGTTGGTATCTTCTGTGACATTCTCCAGTGCTACCAACTACTGCATCCTTGGCTGAATAATTCTGCCTTTCAGTCTCTGCTCTGCAAAATGAAAGTGACCACAGAGCTCAGCTAGCTACTGCCAGAACTGCATACAATTAATAGTGGCCATGACAACATGCCACGTGTGTATGTGCTGGTCCCTATTTTATAAAGCCCTTTCATATTGCTTATCTTATTTGGGCCTCACAACAACCCCAGGGGGAGAGTACAAGTGGCCTGTTTTTAATCCCTGTTTGAGGAAATGAGTGTGTAAGTGACAGCTCTGATGGGAGAATTATTTTATAACCTCAAGTATAAGGATGGCTTTCCTGTGTCACAAAACCTATAAGCTGTAAAAGCTGACGGCCGATTGCATAATAATTTTTTCAAGATCCTGCCTGGTCAAAAGCACCATAAAACAAAGTGAAAGACAAACTGCAAACTGAAGAATAATATTTGCAATACCTATTATAGGCCAAGGACTAATTTCCCCAATATACAAAAACATACGATTCCAACAAATACTTGTATACAAATGCTCCAAGCAGCTCTGCTCACAATAGCCAAAAGGTGGAAACGATTCAAATGTCCATCAACAGACAAATGGAGAACTAAAACG